TACTGTTTTCTGTCAATGACATGTTATCTTTTGATTGAAGATCAGTAATAGAAGGCCTGGAATCAAACATAGTAATGATTTCATTTTTGAGTTTGGAAGTATTTGTTACCGTTTTTTTTTTAGTTTTTGAAGAAACACATATGATTTCTTCCTTTGTAGCTAAGGCTTGAATTCCTGTAGGTTTTCAACTTTTTTTTGAATTGAAATTATCATCCACAACAGCATGTCAGAGAACTTAAAATGCAAAGTAATGTGGGTTTTTTTTTTTTTAGCCCAAAGCTGCTAATTTGGATTAGAGTATTTTTTGCTTTTAACTGTATAAATGATATTGTTAGTTTTTCACTATAATTGTATGAGTCCCTGTTGCATCAGCTGTTTTAATTTTTCTGCTTTCCTCACTATCTTTGCCAATATGCATATTTTTCTCTCTTTTGAAAGAATCTATGCGTTAATAAACTTTTGTATGTGAATGTTTGATTAGCACACTGTGTACTTGGATCTTGGCATAGCTACTTATTGGCTTTCATTGATTTATCATTTCTGTTAAAGAACAAAAGGAGCTTTATGTTTTTTAGTTTCCTTGCACAGCAGACAGATTATGGAAGGAGAATGTCAATCAGAAACTATCAGTAAAAGGCAATGCTTGGGGTTGCTGGACTTAGACAGGGTAGCTGTCATTTTTGTGTTTTTCCTATCAATCTAATGACTATTTTTGTGTTTATGAATTCCTTGGAACACCTGTTTTTCTGTACGAAGAAAATGTTTGACTTTCAATGACAGATGCAAATTATCTACATGATTTTAAATTAAGAGTTGAGGTAAAATAGGGGAAAAAATAGTGCTTAGGAAGTGACTAAATATATACTTTATGATGAAATGCTCTTCTTTGGCCAAGCCAAATAGGAAAACACTTATTAGACATATGCTTTATTCTTTGGCTAGGCCATAATTCTGCTCAAGAATAGTTTGATTCTCAGAGGCAACTTTGCCCTTGTTTTTCATCAGGTCTGCTGACTTTCTCTTAAGTAGTCACTTATTTTGTTTTGAGTCTGTTGCATGGATGAAAACAGAGGTATCAACTTATCATTGTTACAGTAGAAATCCACCAATTTTTTATTCCTTTTTTCATAATAATGTCCTTCTTCAAGCCGGGCTTGGTGGCTCAGCCTGTAATCCTGCGCCTTTGGGAGGCTGAGGTGAGTGGATTGCCTGAGCCCGCTGGTTCGAGACCCGCCTGGGCAGCGAGACCTCATCTCTACAATAAATCAAAAAAAAAATCAGCCGGGCATGGTAGCGCATGCCTGTAATTCCGGCTACTCGGAAGGCTGAGAAGGAAGGATCGCTGGAGCCCAGCAGGTCGAGGCTGCGGTGGCCAGAAGCAGCCACTGCACTCCAGTCTGGGCGACAGAGTGAGACTCCAACTCAAAAAAACAAACAAAAAAACAAACAAAAAAAACAAAATAATGTCCTCCTTCTGTCTGTTTCCTTCCTCTTAGTCCATTCAGATGTTTCTGAATTAAGTTGCATTTCTGCTGTGCTGGTTCTATCCACTTCCAGTCCCTTCTAGCACCTTCTATAGCACTCACAATGAAGCACATAACTTTGTCCTATTTCAGCCTAAAGCCTTCCTTCATTTAGGTTCTTGTAAAATTGCAGAAAAGGAAAGATAGAGTAGAGAACAGGTTTTTCAGTCTTAAGCCTTTTATTAAGCTTCTTCCTTCAGAATTTCATCTACAGCTTATAGGTGGTACCACCTGGAACCAGAAATTTGAAATTTAGAACCAAATTAACTCAATGCCCATTCTTTTTTTATTTATTTTTTTGACTCAGAGTCACTCTGTCACCCAGGCTGGAATACAGTGGGACACTCCCAGCCACTGCAGCCTCGACCTGCTGGGCTCCGGCAATCCTTTCGCTTCAGCCTTACAAGTATTAGAACTACAGATGCATGACACCATGCCTGATTAATTTTTTGTTTTATTGTAGAGATGAGGTCTTGCCATGTTGCCCAGACTGGTCTCAAACCTCTGGGCTCACATTGCTCCATTCTTTAAGCTGTCTTTCAAAATACCTATTTTTCATCTTCATTTTATTCATATTTTTTGGCAGTTATAGGCAATTTCTTGGAGAATAGGAAAACAGTAAATTTACCGTCAACTGGCAACCTTGTGTATAGGAGATTAACTTGGCTATAGTTATGTTACTCTGGAGGTATCAAAGTATAAAGCAAATAACTAAATGACAACAGTCTTCAGTGAGTAACTTGAGTTGAACTTTGATCTTGCCACTTATTAGCTGTGTAATCTTGGTCTGGTCAGTGAACCTTTTTGAATCTCGGTATTCTCATTTAAAGTTGTCCTTCCCTGAATGAAACAATGCATGAAAGTGATTTTTAACCTGTAAGGTGCCCTGTAGGTACAATTTTAAAAAAACCAGCTATGTTAACATTGTGGTATCTTTATTATACTGTAATAGAGGTAAGTAAAGTGAATTCAATTTTTGATGAAACAAATTTGGTAAAAATCAGCTGTTTCAAAAAATTCACAGATGAAGAAAGGAAATGGTAAATATTTTGAATTGATACTCATTTTGATAAATTATGTCTTAGACTTTTCTGTATATGAAATATATATGTAAGGTCAAAAGAATAATTGCAATAATTATTAATGTACATACCACCCACCTTAAGTAATAGAACATCCTTTCTCTAAACTCATCCAGAATCATGATTCTAAATGCCTCCTCTCTGCTAATGACTCTAAATTTAAATGTGTAGTCTGTACTCCAGTTTTGTACATCCAGCTGCTATCTTCACCTAAAGCTCTAATCAGCATCTCCTACTGAACATCTCTGAAACCAGACTCCTGGTAGTATTTATTTATTTATTTATTTATTTTTCCACTTTTTTTTTTTTTTTTTTTTTT